TTACCGAAAGGAAAGTGGTTCGATCCCAATCAAAACAAAACTTACAACGGTCCACGCTGGCTGAAGAATTATCCGGCACCAATTGATGTTTTACCATATTTTATTTTGTCATGATTAACAAAAGATTTTTAATGTGGAAACTAGTCGATTTAAAAATTTGTTTTACCATTTCCCGTTTGCCAATAAATAATTTGAAGATTAAAAAGTTTAAAATCGAAATATGAAATTAAAAAAGCTTTATTGTAAGTTCAAAGTTTAATTCTTGTTTAATGAAAATAAAAAGTTTTTTGGTTACAAAATTCATGTTAGAAACTTAAAATAGAGTGAATGTTCAGCATACATTTGAAGTGCAAAATGAAAATGTTCAGTAGGTTAAATCACCCAAACCTTGTTTGAGAATTGAGAATGCATGACATTCTTCGGGCAGTGCGTAATGATGCGCTTGAATTAATTTTATAGCCAAATCAGCGGGATTTTTGTTGAATTTGCATTTGCCAACAGCATTCGAAATAGCTGTTGAATGTGATCGATTTTTAGGCGGGACAAAGCCGTTCGACTCAAATATATCTGCTTCAAATTCATCAGGTCTTGGTCGAGGAATTAAACCTAAGAAGTTACAATATGCATTTTGTTCCGATTTATTGTTGAAATACATCGCTCCTGAATACATTGCGATCTGTACTTGATCATGAATATCAATACGTGGAATGGTTGTCATTGCACTGACTTGTAATTTTGATTGATGAAGCAAGTCATTGTGGAATTTACTCAATTTTGGTCGGTACAGGAACAGGGCCGCATTTTTGCTCTTTTTAAATGTGGAAAGTAGTCGATCGCATTCGAAGGAGCTCAAAAGTATTAAATAATACTTTCCACTTGTGCGATCTTCGACTCGAGCTATCCACCAAATCGGACGCATATATGCGTCTTTGGCACGCGATGGTTGAGAATGATACAACGAATAATCGTCTGCGGACCACAAACTCGAATGGAAACCATAATATCTCTCGCACTTCGTACAAACTTGCGTAAAGTCTTTTGTTACAAATATGTAATCAGACCATGCCTTCGTTTCATCAACATGGTTACGAATGAGCTGAGAGTTTTCGAGACTCTTTCCGAGTGAAATTAAGCACTGTCTTTTCAACAAATCGGACAAAATAGTTGTTGTTGCACCTTCCGAAATGAAGTGTTGCAATTTTTTATCGAATTCGGGTTTCACAGGACTCATTCGATTCGGCCTTTCAATCTGACATTCTTGTTCGAGTTCCATCTCTTTTTCCAGCTCTCTCTCCTGCTCTTCGTCCAATCCTTGAACGAAACGCTTCACATTGCTAGCTTGCTTCTCTACTTTTTTTTGCACACTATTTTCAAGGTTCGTGATAACATTTCGAAAATCGCTAAAGTCTCGAGCCAACTTATTGAATTTATTTCTGGTGATGTCGGCCAATGGTGCTTCTTGTTTATCGCCATACATATCTTCAAGTTTTGTTATCTCACCATCAATGACCGTGCGCAGAAGGTGATCCAATGACAGTCTATCGTTATGATTCCCACAAGTTAAGTGTCCGATTAGCTTTTTGGTGTAGTTATGTGCACCAGCAGCCCAATGTACCGTATTTTCCGTTTCGACCGTTTTACTATTGTTGCAAATGAATTCGACTACATGTTGATTTGGTGTACATTCGTGTGGCTTTGCTTTGGATTCGCAAAGCTTTTGTATTTTCAAATCAGCTTCATATGAAGCCCAAAATGCAATCGATTGCCCTTTACCCAGCTGCCTCATTCGCATGCACGCCTGCACCGTTTTATCTCGCGTTATATCACCCGACAAAGTGACGCACGCCTTCCAATTCAATGGGAATTTTAAATCGGTGCCACGCGTATGCACATCGTCCAAATACACCAAGCATCTGTTCAACTTTTCGCGATAAACTGAGCAATCGAATTCCGTTACGATTTCTTTGCGATCAATTGTTTGAATCACATCATTTGTGTCGAAAAAAACCGCTGCATCGAAGAAAGTGTCAGGAGCTAATGCCAACCATTCTTTTGCCACTTGTTGGTTATTCAATTCCAACATTAAAGCACCTGGAAAAGTGAGATTGGTAACATTTAAAAATAAATACTACTATACTAGTAAAAGTCAAATGGTAAATTTTACCTGAATCTAAAAGCACCGGTATTTCGCAATCCACCAATTGTCCAATTATGGCTCTGCCACTTACGTTTGCTTCGAGTGCCTTGTAATCTTGATTCTCAGGTAGCAAAAGTGTTTTACGAACTTCTTCGTTGGTACTTTCGAGTTCGGGCAGATCGTTTTGCTCCACTGACATCGGCAGAATATTTTTGGTGTCATTCGTACCTGAAAATCCTCTTAAGGGATGTTCCAAAGCAAAACTGCATAAATCCCAAGTGGAACACATCAGCTTATATTCAAATGTTTTTGCTTCACGCGGAAAAACGAATTTGGCGAGATAAAAGTCGATGACATGCATATTAAAGCGATACGTTGGATAGAGGATTTCATCGCGTTGTTGTGGATCACTTAAATTGACACCCGAATAAGTTTGAATTGATACGTCGATTAGTGACGATGAAACACTTTCCGCCCATTTATTGTAAATTGCCGGCGCATTGTGACACATTGACAAAGCATTGAATGTTTCTTTGAGTTGATCGTTGTTGAGCCCTGAGAGAGAAAAAAGAACAGTTTGATGAAATTGAGAAATTTTAGAATTTTAAAACGAAGTCAAATCAAACCTGAATAGTAATAGCTCATATCGCGACGTCGGGATGACCAAATTCAGTTTGTTCAGCGGCGACGTCTTTTGCTTCAAAAATAAAACGAAAATAAGTCAATGATTTTGTAATCAGAAAACGGGTGGTTTCTACCTTTGAATGGTATTGCCATTTTTCGGCCGCCTTCTCGTAAGGTTTTTCGTTGCCCTTTCTCGTTCACTCCATAGTTAACGCGCCAACGCTTCATTAAAACTAATTTTAGAATTTCAAAGCGCAGCAGACCGCTCAAAATCATGATAATGTCACGTTCTTCCGTCAAAAATACGTCCATAATTTGATGGAATGTATTTTTATCAATAGATTTTTCTCTTAATAAAAATCGTAATTCATTTTTAGTGTTTGGTTTCATTTCTTGGAATGCGATATTAATGCGACCGCTAAGAAAATCTTCGATAAGCAATGATTTTAATTCCTCGTAAACTGATCCATCTAAAATTCGGCATGGTGTAAACACATCATCACGATGATTCACCTTTGGTGCTCCAAAAATTTGACCTTTTTTAATGTAATTCTCATCAAACTCAATCTTCTCGGGACCAAATTGAATGTACAGCTTTTTCATGTGGTATGGAATACGCTTTAGCACAGCTTGAGCAATGAGCCAACGATTTTCTTCAAGAGAAGACTGAGTACCCAACGTATAGACTAACTGATATTTTGGATGTAAAATCGCATCAGATTCGTCCAAAATGTTTCGCACATTCGCCTCGATCCATTTATGAACTTGCAAGAAATAAGCGGCTGCTCTATAATCGGACTTTTGAATTGATTCGTAAATCTTCAGTTGAAATGATAGCCGATATTCGGGCAATGTGAGAATGATACCTGAAATACATTTTTTTTTTTTTTGGAAATGCAGTTTCAGTTTGAATATTAAAAAAAAAGGAATAGAGAATCATGACTTACCTTTCATTTGCTTGCACTCCTCATAAATCTTAAGCATTTCGCTGACATGTTTCTCAATTTTCATATTTCTGCGGCAAGGAAAGATATACAATCTCCGTTTAAGCATTCCGCCCAAATAGCGTCGCAGCGATTTCAAGTTTGTGGCAAATAATGGTTTCAAAACTGTTATTTGGCATGCTTCTTTGCCATTGGCCAAAATTGCAGCCACAATTGGTGTAATAACGGCGGTCTTTCCTTCGCCCATGTTCAACTGCATCACCGAATGTTTTTTCTCACAATTTTTCTGTGGGGCCATCATTTGTCTCGCGACATCGACTTGAATGCGACGAATCATCAAGTTCTGTTCGATTTCGAACAGCACCCATTCGGGATATTCGCATGGTTTCCAATTGACGTGCGGTTCATTTTGCATTTCTCTTGTCAATGCTCCCTTCAGATGGTCTTGTTGCGAATAGAGGGCAATTCGTTTTTGTCGTTGTTCATGCACTATTGTCACTGCTAAAGCGCCGACTACCATCTTCAACGGATTGTCTTCTTTCGCAGTGATTGCCGGTAATACTAGGCTTGGCACGGCACGCGGAAACATTCCGGCATCGATTAAATGTTGTGAATTTGATCCATTTACAATATTTTCGTAAACTGACCACCAAAAGTCAACTGATTTTACTAAATTTGCCGAATTTTCCACCCAAATACTTTGCGCTTCTTGAATTACCTCCTCAAAATCATCGATGCGTTCACACATTTTCATTTTATAATCAATTTCATACTTTTGCCAATCCATTGAACAAAATTCAACATATTTCAATTCATTGAATGTTAACGGATCAGATGCTGGTAAACATTCCAAAGTCTCTTGAACTTGTTGAATAAATAACGCAAGTTTTCGATTGTTATTCCAAATTTTGAGCCGTTGACTGATTGCCAGGCTGGCTTCGGCCACGTTTATTTCACTGACGTCACAGTGAAGCTTGATTCCATCGCAGGGCCAATTTATTGAAGAAATCATATTCTCAATAGCTTGTTTAATGCGTTCATCATATGCTAGTCTTTCAGGTGAGTCCATAGAATAATATAGGGAAAAAGGACGTGTATGATAACTGCCCAAAATATTTCTGACCACATTCACATCATACTCCATTCCTTCGCCAATTTGGTATTTTTCAATCGGCGGAAGATCGATTGAACAAAAAGCTTGTGGATTCATTTGAATTGCCTGCAATGCCAAAATTGGATCTAGCGAATTGTTTTCATGCGACAGAACACTCCAAATAAGTGCAAATTGTTCTTTGTTGAACATTCCTCTTCGAGCATACTCATATAATGGTATCCAAAGATCCACGAATTTTTGATAAATTTGATGATGTAACAAAAGTTTTACATTTTCCATATTCGCTGTACCGTCCAATGTGTCATTTGACATCAGAAATCCTTTCAAATTCAATCCTTTCGGTACTACGTATTTTTGGTTATGATAGAGAACCGAAATGGTTCGTGTTTCATTCGACGGGGTTTCGAACGGAAAGCTTGCCTTCGATGTTCGAAGCTTTTCATATTTTGCGAATGTTTCGGATATTCTAAGATTTGGAATGAACGGTAAAGATCGAAGGTATTGTCGTTTATTGAGAATGTTTGTTGTTAAAGTTTTCATCTTTGGTATAAAATACAATTCATGCAATCGTTGACTGTCTTCCAGCAATCGATGCGCAATCAAAATGTATGTGTCTTGTGCCGAACGTGGCGGAATGATCGATGGCCATTCAACTTGTTGATAAAATTCTTTCATTTTTCGGTTCGGCGATAATTTGGCGATGGCATCCAGCATTTTGGTTGCATCTTCGTCGTATGGCGCCGACGCCCATGCAAAACCCGATTGTAATATTTGTAAAGCGCATTCAGTGCCAGACATTTTGGTGAATGGTTCCATTTCACCGTGCGATGTGACTGCGTGTAAGTAAGCCAAAAAGAACCATGCCGAGTAATTGCTACTGCTAGCTTTAATTTGAGAGCAAAACTCATCGATTTCATACTGGTGGAATGGTGGGTTTCGGAGATCTCCATTGATCTTTACTTTGACTGAAACATGCAAATTGGTGTGCTCCGTCTGAATTTCTCCATGTGGAATGATCAGTAGTTTTTTCGAAGCGTTTGTTATTGAATTTTCATTTGGCATACTTTCTAACAGGAGTCCGTGATGAAAACCATATAAAGTGCCACATTTTTGCGCGAGTCCCACTCGCATTCCCGCAAATTCATTGGATTCCATATCGTAGATTTGCCGCCGTGCCGAAGCATCAACAGTGAACTTCAGGCGCATTCGAATCAATTCGACCGTTGCTACCTGCGGTTTATCCATAAGAACGTGAATGAATTTCGGCACTTCCAATCGCGATAAATGCGTTGCAATTTTTAAATAGCTGCCACTGGTGATATCCAACATGAGTCGTTGCGTTTTCATGTGAATCAATCGGCGTTCATTTAAATCCAGTTGATATTCAATTCCATCTTGATTCGAGAAATTTTTGTCGCTAAACAATTTCGGCCGAAATTCAATGACGTTTGTTTGCTTATTCCAAAAGTGGCTGTAATTTTCAATCAAATGATGGGGAATTTCGTTTGCTAGAACGGAAGGTGGAACAATTTCTTTTTCGATTCCGTCACGTCGCTCAATTATAAGTGTTTCGTTTTCACACTGAAATTCGTAGTTGCAATTATTGTACTTCTGAACGGTTGAGAATGTGTAGGCCGAATCGGGCTGAACAGCAAATACAAAGTTGCCAAATGTTCTTTGGAATATTTCTGCTTCGGTTATAGTAGTTGGTGAATGCACAACTGGCCTATTATTTACCAAAAATTCACCGGTTATAATGTCAATTGTAATGTAGTTTGCGAAGCCCTTCAACAATACTTCAAATACCAGAGTTTGTGGATAATCAGAATAGAAATATGATTGAATCGACCGTGCACAATCCACACGAGACCATAACTGTTTCACCAATCTGTAAATGTCATTCGGCATTGGCATGCATCCCTCGATCATCGATCTTATTGTTGGCTCAATATGAATTCCAATGTTTCGCACCATTCGCAGCAGCAGTCGCAGGTTTAAGGGCATTTCATTCTGATTGGCGTTTGATAAAATATTGTTGTTCATAGTTATGATAAATTGAATCCATACGCGTGGCGCAGAATACTTGGTTTGTTTGTTTTCGACGAAAATTTTCTCAAAAAATGTATGATTGTAGTTGATGAAAAATGTCATTGCTCCGGCTATCGAAACAGACAATAGCTTCATGTGCAATTGCTTATCGCTGTGAAGACTTGAATTGGTCGACTCTTTAATTGCATGTGTAATTTTCTCAATCCAGTCAAATGCAATGCTCCGAATTTTGTCCAAAAGATTCACAATTTGATCGGCCAACGTTTCGTCGTCGTTCATCTCGAACACTCGAACCGCGATCAAAGCGGCAATCAGCAATTTATTTGGATGCACCTTCAGGAAATTTATAAAAGAAATGGCGAAAATTAATTCAATGCAACTAATAAAATCGTTTTTGTCATTCTTAAAACTTACCCAGTTCTTCTTTTGTTGTTCGCAAAATTTGTCAAGTAATTCAATCATTGCTGCGGCGAATTTGGAGTCATTGAAGTCTGTGTGAGATTCTCGAATTGCGCCATCATCTCCAGCAATTCCGGCCTCCCAAAGAGTTTGAATGACAAGCGACAGAACTGAAGACTGTTCCAATGAAAGTGCTTCAGTTTCGATCATAGCGTACAATTTTCTGAGCTGTAACCGATGACCATCAGCACGAAGCGAACCGAAATTTTTGAATTCCGACAATGTTAATCTTTCGTGGCATTCATTTTGTCGCGATAAAACCTCATTTTGCGTGTGGTGCGTTCCATTTAAAGTCCATTGCAATGATTTATATTCATTTTCCACGGGCAATGTACAAACGGTGTTGATGCACTCATCCGATATAGCAGAAGGTAATGTTGATTGTGAGCCATAAAAAGTACAACCGATGCCATTTTTAACAACAAAACATTCAAAGCTACTATCCACATGCTCTTTGTATTTATACGATGAATTGCTTCCTCCAAGTGAAATGAACATGCTGTTAGATACATTGAACTGATTAATTTGGTGGTAGGCAACCCAACCTCTCCTATTTGCGGCATCTACCAGACTGGCGAATTCAAAACCTTTTGGATTTTCGCACAATTTTGTGAAACTGAACAAAACATCTCGCAAACAAGCAATTTCAATTGGGCATCTTAGCTCAAAGGCAACAGCATTTTGTTCATATGTCTCGGTTGGAAGTGGACGTTCATACATGTCAATCCTCATGTTCCTTATCTCTTTTTCAACGACACATTTTTTACAAAATTTATCGTGTCTCGTATAGCCATAACGATAATTTGTATAATTTGTATGTACCATACGTTGATCTTGATTTCGTAGACTTTGAACTTCATCCCGACCACATTGCCACTCTTGTCGCTTGCATGCAATACCATGCTCTTCAATTCGTTTAATTTGAGTAACAACGTTTTGCATATCGGCACTTTGTTCGGCAAATTTAACAGAAAATGAATTAACCGATACACTTTTCTCCTCAATGAGCCCGGGACCTGTGGCATTAGCGTTTCGCTTCTTGAAATATTGCTCAAGCTCAAAAGCAATGGCCATATCTTCACGTTGAGGTAACAATAACGAATTTATTATGTTTGGATTGATGCTTGTTCGATGTTGTTTAAGAATTGGATATGTTCTGCATGCAATCTTATCAAGTGCGGCGATCAATTTTAAATATACCAAAATCATTCGACTTGTGCCCAATTCATCGCCTTTATACAAATTGTCAACGGCAAATGTGTAATCAAAGATCCATGCTCGAAGCTCATCGGGCCGAAATGAAATGCATTCAACGTTCAGTTGATACAATACCCAAATTTCGAAATCATTGGCGTAGAGATTTCTCTCAGTTTCATTGGTTAATTGTTTAAATACCGATACAGTCGGTGCATTCGTTTCTTTTCTATAATGGCGAGACAGCTTTTTGACCTTAAGTTCGGACCGATTTCGATTCGAATCTGTTGCACATTTCCGTTTTTCCAAATAGCCTAATAGCTTGGGAATTTTTTGCTCAACATCAGCATGAAAATCAAGGTCAACGAGTGGCAATAGTCGTGCACGATTTTCATCATCTGTCTGTAATTTGTTAATTTGATTGTTGATTTTGTGGCGAATTTCTTGGATTGTCTTTTTCGCTTGAGACTGGACATTTTGATGTAACTCATCAAAATCATGAACCTCTGAATGTTTCATCAAATCTAAAAGTTTTTCGATTCGACGGGCCAGTTTTGCCATACACTGTGTTAGTAAATCAACATCGAGCGTTTCGTGCATTTCATTCTGAAAGGTATCAATCATGCGAGTCAAAAACTGCATCATTATTAATTTGTACAGTAATTTGGCTTGATCTTGACCGAGCACCATGGTGAGATTATGTTGAAGAAATACTTTTAGGCACATGTAAAAACTGGATCGCCTGAAGAAATTGTTACTATGTTTGCCCAATACTTCGTCGCGGATTTTTTTCGTAATAATCGGAAATTCGTTCGTTGTCGCAGTTTTGCTGATTTGATCAGTGAGCAGGGTTACTAGCCATTTTGAGACATAGTTTCGATTTTTGGTTTCGATTGGTAGATCTTGGTACATAAAACACAGTTGATCGGCAAACTCTTCCGAGCAAATCAATTTTGAAAATGGCACGTTCAGCGATTGGATCGGGTAATTGAACTGTAAAATCATAAGTATTTAGAATCATCGGAAAATGTTGATCTGAAAGCATAAACAAATTACCTTGATGTCTGAGTCATTGCTGTAGATGTGCTTCGGATGAATATTGCCAGGAAACGTGGCCACGATGACGCGTTTCGATTGATCGAAATCAACTGGCATGTGAATCATAATGCCACAATTTTGACGACGAACAAACATCCCAAATGTGTCACCAGGTTTTAGAGATTGAATTTGTTGTGACACGGTGTTTGGTGAAAGATTTTTATGTACTTCGTTCAACATATTAAGCATCTTGATTGTAGCCGGTGGAATGTGTTGGGTCAATAGCTCATTTTCGGTCACATTCTTTACCATCGCTGACACCAAAGCCAATTCTTCGCTACACAAATGTTCCGATCGGTTTTGCGGCAAGAATCGCGGCAATACCACATGATTCAAAAGTATTTTATACTTTTCTTCAATATCCTCGTCCACTTCCATATTCATGATTTAAAATTATTATTCTAAAAAAATGAAAACAAAATCAATTGTTATTGCACATATACGAAAAAGAATGTAAATATTCATTATCTTTCTCTCTCTTAGTTTTAGTTACGTATATCGTTTAAATGTAGTTTGTACATTAAATCATTGGATACTGGAGGAAATATGGTGATTTATTTTTAAATTCTTCATCATTTCGAAAGAATATGAGAAACGTTGTTTGGATATTCAGTCTTCGTTAGTATTTAATATTGTTTATAGCAATATGAAAAACAATTAAACTCATTTATTCATAAACAAGCGAAAAAGAAGCGATTCTGATTATTCAAGCATTTCATTAAATGAATAACACAAATAAACTAACTATACATCATTGGCACTTATAGCGTTGTCGCATGTTCATGACGGCAACATTTCCAAGAAAAATCCATTAATATCGAACCACCATATTCGAATAAACAAAAAAGGGCGTGGATAATGTGTTTCCTCTTTGGTATAAATTCGAAATGCACGACTTGATATTTTTTTTTCTCTCTTATATTCTTCTTTTTGTACTTCCAATTTATGAGACATTTTGCAGTGAAATATTTATAACAGAAATCATACGCATAATGAATAACCTTCTTGTTTTAAACAACGGAACGAATTAAAGTCGAAATTTTATATCGAGACTTGATTTTAAATTCAGAAAATTCAGAGATTCGACCGTCGCTCTGAATGTTCCACACAATTTCTTATGGATATTTTTGATTTTTGATGAAAACTTTATTAACATTTTGCTCAATCTTTTAACACACAAAAACACATTTTGCCACCAAATTTAATGAAATCTTGAAATCTAGAGAAACATTTTTGTGAGCAATTTTGAAATTTAATTGTGCAATTGCAACTATTTTCTCTACAATAAAAAAAGAATTAAATAAATTAAGAACTGTACCTTGTTGAAATCACCAGATTTAATTGAAAATAAATGTGATAATTTATAGTCTGAAAGCACTTAAACACCACAAAATTTGCCGTTTTAAGCTACGTTCAATTAAAACCAATATATTTGTTCTTTCAATTCAAATATCCGAAAAATTCTGTTTATAAGACACTGTCAATATTTTTTTGTCCAATTTATTTTTTTTCTTGTTTAAAAAATCACTAATTTGTGTCCAAAACAGGAAAAACAAGGAAAAAAATCAAGCACTAAACAAGGCTAACGCTCTTCTTCTCTTTCAAATCTTAATTTGAAAACCAAACTGACTTCGCTGACGAGTAGTCGTTGAATAATCGACGCTGTATCCATCTGTATCCATTGAGTTTGCCTTAGAATGGCTTTTGTATTGTATTGTATTGTATCAATGTTGGTGTAAGCGTGTATGTGTATACGATAGTGTGCTTTGAGAATACATTCAATTCTGTTTAGCTCAATTATGACGTATGTTTTCTGTTGGTGTGATTTTACGGTCCCAAATTCACGTGTGGGAGGCATTCCTTTTCTCCAAATATTTGATAAGCAAAAATGTCAGTTAAAATTGTCATTTTTTTGATAAAGAAAATCAGCTTGTGAATAATAAGTAATGTAGTTCGTTTAATCATGAAATAGCGAAAGAAATGACTTTATTTTGGAATAATCATGATCAACGGCTGTTTAAAGGGATGAAATCACTCATTTTGAGTGCAAATGATCGTTCATTTTATTCCGATTTGATAGTTTTCCAAGTAGTTTTCTATTTCTCATTCAGAGTGATTTCCACAACGGCGATACGTTTATTCAGCTAACGTAAATGAGCTTCATTGTCCAAATGTGACTGTTTTGAAATGAAATTCGCTAAAAATTGTTGCTCACATATAATATCAAGAGTTTATTCATATACAATCAAGCAATTCCTTTTGGAATATAAACATTGTTTATTAAACAAACTAAAAGTATTTTTACTCACACTGTAAGACAGACACAACTCTTTCGATAAACGTAAATTTAACTCAACACGAATTAATTTGTTTTCATATCACACGATCACATTCGTCTTACTAAAACTAACACATATGAGTACAAGTGAATGCTGCAGTAAAAAATGATATGAGTGGAATTCGAATGCATAAGTAGTCTTCGAAACGGCTTTCAATCTGTGAAAGAATTTACTGATTTTTGCTAAACAAAAGACGATATTGTTAAAAGATAGGAAGAAAAAGAATACATTTGAATTCAAAAAACAAATAAAATTGATAGAACGGTAGTTTTTACTTGATTTCTCATTCCTTTTGTACAAAAAAGTGTTTCCTTGGTAAAGTAAAAAGTAAGTTAAAATAACATCTAGTGAAAAAGGTCATAGTTCTATTTGATTAAAATTGACAATTTAAAATTTCATTTCTCGTTGATACTTTGTAGCAAAATGAAACAATTATAGAGAGAATATTGGCAATTTCATAATTTTAGCAGTGTTCTTATCAATTTTCAAGATGCGATACATCCACTGCAACTTTGTATTGATTGGCGTGCAGTTTTTTTTTTTTTGGATTGCACTATTTTCAAGTTAAAGTGTGTTTTTGTGCCGTTGAGTGGTAATAAAATAAAGATTTCACGAAAAAATACGTATCTATTTAGATTTTTGTTCATTTTAAAGCAATAATTCAAAGCCAATCTACTCGTAAATTTCAATTTCAATTTACTCGTTCCGCTTTGACGAAAAAACGTTCGGAGTTTGTATTTCATGCAACCTTTAACAACTCATTTTAAGTATGAATGTAAAGAAAGGCGAAAAAGAACATGAAACCGTTCTTATTTCGACTACGATTCAAAAAAGTAACTCTTCTCTTCTCTCCCAAAGAACTTTTACATGAGAACAGACGGTAAAACGCGAGTCGAGTTTTAGTTATTATATTTGATTTTATTCTTTTGCATGACATCAGCAAACGACCGATTCAGCATGCACATTATCCACGCGATTTTTTGTTTATTAAGAGTAATGTAATCATGGTTTAAAATAATGTATTTTTTTTGGAATTTATATTCAAGCGAGATTTTAGAACAAAACATTCATAAATTTACGATCATCATGAAAATAAGTGAATAATGAAATATAGTGCATGGATATTAACATGCGCATTGCGCGGGCACTTACGTAGTTGCTTTAGGTGCCTTATAAAGTATTACAAAGCATAGTTAGTTAAAGTGACTCAATGAAATGATTGAAAAATCTCAACCGGTTCATTCGCACTCGTGTTTAATTGTTTTCTTTTCTCTTATAATCAACAAACATTCTGTAGCAGGGCAACAATGAATTTTGAAACAAAATACGCATTAAATTTAATTAATAATTGATATTTTCTC